TCTCTTTTTCTATTAAATCTAAAAAAACACTAAAAATACCAAAAACATTTGCTTTTAACATTAATTTTGATTCCTTATTAATTTAATTTTGCAAAAGGGTCCAACGCCCATGTTTTAATTGTTTAATTGCGCATATTTATTTTATGTCATTTAAATAATTATGTATCTCTCCCAAAGCCATGTAACTCGGATGTTTTATACTTCTCGCACTTTTCAATTCTCTTATTTGCTTTATTTATCTTTTCTGTCAAATCGGGTCCGGTTTAATTTTGGCGATGTGGACCCGCGCCATTTGTAATAGCTTAGATTTACTTTTTCCCGCAAATATTTTAACTGTTAACAAAGCATGCAAGAATGAATGGTCTTAAATAAAATCAAGCGTAGATCACAATGAACATGACAAGATAAATACAAATGAAAACGACACACAATTCGCACACACCACCCCTAGGGTACGCCTCACTGTTGCCTTGCCTTCGAAAGGTGATCGTCGAGTAGAGGATGTCTTAGTAAGTCCTCATGATCCGGGAACCTGGCATGAGGGTAGCTTCTAAGGTGTCTTCCCATTGCTCTGGTGATCACCATGTCCCTACAAACTCGAATTGACCCGAATACCTCCAACGGTGGTGCTACCTACCTCTCAATGGTGGGATGGCACTACCTTAAAGGACATTTACACAGACGAATTCCTTAGGGTAGGTAGGTTCTCAAGGGTACTTGCTCTAATTTCAAAACAAATCAAAATCTCTTCACACCAACACATTTTCAAAAGCTTTCAAAACAAACTTTTCAAACACTCTGACGTACGAGTCGAACTGAAATTTTTCAAAGAAACTTTTTAAAACCCACATTGAAAAGCAAACAAACAATTTTGAAAACACATTGAGCAAGTATCTAAGAGCCCATGGATAACCATGGATAGAAAGGGTGCTAACACCTTCCCTTTCTATAACCTACCTCCCGAACCGAGAGCAATCTCTTTAAGGAATTTTTATGTGCTTTTGTCCTTTCCATTTGGAGAAAATAAAAGACGGTGGCGACTCTTGCTTCCGCGACATTTCACGAACCAGCGTTAAACAGTCAGTTCCAGATCCACCGATCACACATATCATTCATCATATGCATAAACAGGTCTTCACACCAGGTTTCCTTATCTTTCTACTATTTATTTCAGCAAGATGGATATAGAGCAAACAGTCAAAGATCTGCAAGCACAGAATTCGCAATTCCAACAACTCCTCATGACCTTGGCAAAGGGTCAAGAGGACCTTAAAGCACTGTTAGAGAAGAAAGAAAAGGAAAAAGGAAAAAAGAAAAAGAAAAGAATCGGGGTAGCTACTCTGGGAAGAAGATTTGAGAACGAAGCTAGGAGGGTCCTGGAGTTCCCCTCGACGTCTGATGAAGGGACTGGCAAAGGAAAAGGAGTTGCAGTACCTTCCGAGTCTGAGGCTGAAGAGGAAGAAGTTGAAGAAGATGAATATTACTCTGAGCAGCAGTACCCTCCTGCGGACGACAGGTATAAAAATATGGAAGAGCGGTTGGCAGCTATGGAAGTGCAAAGGGTACCTGGATTGGATTTCGAAGAACTGGGATTGGTTTTTGGGATCGTTATTCCTCCTAAGTTCAAAGTGCCTACATTCGCTAAATACGACGGCTTGTCTTGTCCAAAGATGCATTTGCGTTCTTATGTCACAAAGATCCAACCTCACTCTTCTGATAAGAATCTGTGGGTCCACTTTTTTCAAGATAGTTTGTCGGGTACATAATTGGACTGGTTCTACCAGCTTGAGAGGGATGATGTACATAACTGGGAAGACTTGGTTGCTGCTTTCTACCGACAATACCAATACAACGAAGATTTAGCGCCTACTCGTACTCAACTACAGAGTATGAGTATGGTTTCTAACGAGGGATTTAAAGAGTATGCCCAGAAGTGGCGGGATTTGGCTGGAAGGGTGCAGCCACCATTGTCTGAAAGGGAACTTGTTGATATGTTTTTGGGGACCCTGTCTGGTCCATTCTTCAATCACCTAATAGGGAGCTCATCTGCAGGGTTCACTGAATTAATTCTGACAGGGGAAAGGGTCGAAGCTTGTATTAAGAGTGGCAAGATTTAGAAGGATACACCTGCTTCAGCCGCTATAAAGAAGACCTTCCCAGCCAAGAAGGAAAGTTCTACTGTTTACACCCAGAGAAATTGGGGAAGAGAGGAACACCGACAAACAGTGAGGGCCGTGTTAATTCAGAAGTCTGCATCAGATCAGCCTAGAAATAGTCAACCAAGGAATGATCAGCCCAAAACCTATCAGCAAAGGGTAGAAAGGCCACAACGGTAATATACACCGATAAATATGACACCTGCTCAGATCCTTCCACATCTCCTGAAATTAAACCTTGCCAATTTGAGAGAGGCACCTAAGAATACAAATACCACTTCTCCATATTATTATCCCAATGCAAAATGTGCTTATCATTCAGATAGCATAGGACACGACACCAACGACTGTTGGGCCCTTAAAAACAAAATCCAAGACTTGATAGATGCCAAGGAGGTAGAATTCGATGCTGTGATCGGTGGAAATAGAACTAACTGTTTTAAAATGCTGGTTCGCGAAATGTCGCGGTAAGCAAGAGTCGCCACCGTCTTTTATGTTCTCCAACAAGGAAAGACAAAAGCACAGCAAAATTCCTTTTCGAGATGTTTCTCGGTTCGGGAGGTAGAATATAGAAAGGGAAGGTGTTAGCACCCTTTCTATCTGTGGTTATCCACGGGCTCTTAGGTACTTGCTCACTATGTTTTCAAAAATGTTTGCTTTTCTTGTGTTTGTGGGTTTTGAAAAAGTTTGTTTTGAAAACTTCGTTTTGACTCTTGTATCAGTCCTCAAGAGTGTATGAAGTATTGTTTGAAAACTTTTGTTAGAAAAGTGTAAGTGCGAAAAGTTCTTTTTGTTTTTTAGAAAGAGCAAGTACCTAAGAACCTCTACCTACTCAAAGGAATTAAGCTGTGTAAATATCCTTTAGACAGTACTATCCCACTATTGAGAAGTAGGTAGCACCGTCGTTGGAGTTATTCGGGTCAATTCGATTAATAGGGACATGTGTGGTCACCAAAGCAATGGTAGGACGCCTTAGCGGTAACCCTAATGTCCTAGATACTTTTTTATCCGAGGCAACCGTTTCGAGGCAACTGGATCTTTAAACAGGAGGGCGACCTCTAAAACACCCTATACTCAATGACCACGTCGAGGCAACCAAGTGAGGCGTACCTGTTGTACCCCAATTTTTGACCTAAGATCCCGCATTCCATCCGCATCATTGCATGGCAAGAGTTCACAAGCAATTCGACCTATTTTTGCCAATTCCCGAGTCAGATTTCAAAAATTCATAACTTCTTCAAATTTCAATATTTTGAGGGGTTATTTTTTTGCATATGATTTTTCTTGACACCATCTACAATTTTTCTTTACAAGACAAGAGATGATTATGCATTGAAAAGCCACGAAAAAGTTATTAACGTTCGAAGTTGTTTCACGAATTTAATGGAATTTGATTCTTAATTTTGGACTATGTTTTATCCGACCATAAATTTTACACTTTCTCTTCTTTTATTTTTAATTCCATGAAAAAAATCCTAAAAAAAAAATATTTAGTTCATGTCATCTTAATTTTATTTACATTATTATTCAAAATATCAAAAAAGTAGTCTCTTCAAGTTTCATTTAGATTTTTATTCTTAAGTCAAAATTATAGTCTTCTAGATTTAATTTAGTCAAAATCTAAAAAAAACATGTCTTAGCATTATTTTATTTTTAGCATTTCACTTTAATCACAAAAATATATAGTTAATATCTTTTCCTTTTAATTCTTTTAGTTATTATAATTTTCATTTCTTTCTTTCAATATTAATCTTGATTTGGTTCTAATTTTAATTCAACTTTTTAGTTGAGTTATTATTAAAATTAAAATTAATTTTAATTTCTCTTTAATTTTCATGTTTTGGAAATTTTTAGTTTAATATTTTTTATTTTTATTTTTTGTTATTATTATTGTTATTATTATTATTATGCTATTGTCCCTATCCTAACTTTCCATAGAACCCAAACATGCTACACAACAAAACTTGCTGCTACTTCACTCCAAAAACCTGCATAAAAACCAGTCTGCAAACAACCTTTTTACTACCTTTGCTGTCCAAAAGCTTGCCCAAAAATGAAATCACAAATCCCTGCATCAAGAAAGCATAAGAAAGTTGACATAAACTAGAATTCAACTGATATTTGGCTCCAATTTTCCCTCCGATTCTATCATATATTCATTATAAAAACATAAGCAAATGGTGAAGAGCAAGGGGGAGAAAACAAAAAAACATAGCAGTACTTTTATCTAACTTTCAATCCCCATTTTTCTACTAGCAGTAAACCCTCTCTCCAAAAACAAAAAAAAGGCATAGCAGTAAACAACCCATTTCCACCTCTTCTCTCTTTCCAACGTTGTAACTCAGATCAACTTATCCAATCTTGCTCTAACCGGAACATTACCTTACGGATTAGACCGCCTCACGTCTCTCACCAATCTAGACATGAGTAACAACAATCTTGTTGGAACCATACCATACCAACTTCCTCCTAATCTCCAACGTTTAAATTTTGCTCATAATAACTTAACCGGGACACTCCCTTACTCTATTTCTAACCTCACCTCTCTTACTCACCTGAATCTCAATCATAATCAGCTCCAGCAACCACTCAATCTCAACTTTCTTAATCTTTCTACCCTCTCCAAATTAGACCTCTCTTTCAATTCTTTGACAGGCGACCTCCCTCCAACTATGAGCTCACTTTCAGGCATTACCACCATGTATCTGCAAAACAACCAGTTTACAGGAACTATTGACATTCTTGCTAATCTGACCCTCAATAGTTTGAATGTAGAAAACAATAATTTCACAGGTTGGATTCTGGAGCGGTTGAAAAACATAGACGACCTTCAGACGGGTGGTAATGCATGGAGCTCAGGACCTGCACCACCCCCCTCCTCCTGGGACGCCTCCAATACCTAAAAGCAAACCCAATCCGCTGTCAACTCCCTCCAATCCGTTGCTTAACAATTTCAGATCGCCACTGCATCTCCAGCCGTGTGAACCTCCGTCTCACCACCGGCAACCAGCGACTAGCTCCTCTTTGTTTTCCTCCACATTTTCCGTTCAGCAACAACACTTCCTCTCTCCGACCTCACATCCGCGCCGCCACCTTCGACCGACTCCTCCAACTCCCGCCGCAAATAGATCTGCACCGGACAGCCCCCCGCCACCCGCAACCGTCTCCGCGTCGAAACTTAGGTCGGTACCGTCCTTCATGTTTGGTTCTTGAAATATTGGGTTTTGGCGTTGTATTGCAAAGAGAAGAAAAGTAGGTAGTGAGATAAACTTTTTTTCATGACTTTGTTTCAACTATATTTGTGTTACATTTTGTTTGATTTTTATTTTTTGTTATAATGTTTTGCCACGTGTCAGCTCCTCATTGGACCTACTTTTTCAAAGCAATTTTTAAGGGATGGGGGGTGTTGAAATGTTGACCGAGTATTGATGATGGAGTATGCATGCTCACATTTTTTTATTATCATTATTACATTAGCTTAGGATTAATTTTAGTTAGTTTTGAAATAGGTACACTATATTTTAACCTAACAGTAAACCTCATTATGTACAACTAATTTTTATTTTTCAATTTTTCAATTTTTAGTTTTGATTTAAGATAGTAATTTTATTATTAAATAGTTTAGATTAACTTAGTAATTTTATAATGAATTTAGTTTATACTTAAACTAGTTTAGATTTAATTTAACAACTTTAGAATTTTAATTTTACAATTTAATAATTTTATAATTAACTTAATTTATATTTAAATTAGTTTAGATGTAATTTAGTAATTTTAGAGCTTTAATAGTTTTAGAATTTCATTTGATTTAGATTTAATTTAATAACTCTAGAATTTTTATTCGATTTAGATTTAATTTAGTAACTTTAAAATTTTCATTTTGGTTTAGATTAAATTTAATAACTCTAGAATTTTTATTCGATTTAGATATAATTTAGTAACTTTAGAATTTTATTTGTTTTAGTTTTGACTTAGTAAACTTTAGAATTTTTTGTTTAGTTTTATTTTAGTAACTTTAGGATTTTATTTCATTTAGATTTGACTTAGTAAATTTTAGAATTAGATTTTATTCCATTTAGATTTGACTTAGTAAACTTTAGAATTAGATTTTATTTCATGATTTGACTTAGTAAACTTTTAGAATTTTATTTGATTTATATTTAGTTTAGTAACTTTGGAACTTTCTTTGTTTTAGGTTAGCAACCTTGGAATTTCTATTTAGTTTAGATTTAATTTACTAATTTTAAAATTTTTAATCTAGTTTAGATCTAACTTAGTAATTTTAGAATTCTAATTTATTTTAGATTTAATTTATTAACTTTAGAATTTTAAGTTAGTAATTTTATAATTTTAATTTAGTTTTAGTTATTAACTTTGAAATTTTATTCAATTTAGTTAGACATTTTAGAATTTAAATTTAGTTTACTTAGTAACCTTAGTATTTCAAATTAGTTTAGATAATTTTTTAATTATACTTTTCTTTTATTCATGATTCTTCTTTGTCCATTCATTTAGTTTTTTTACAATTTATCTTGTTATCTACCTTGTTCGTTTCTCGTGGATTTTAATTATTTATGATTTCTTACTCGAATATTAGATCTACCTGCTTATGATTAACTCCAAGGGAAAGAATTAAATTTGTTGACTTCATGTCACCGAACCTATCTCATGCGATTGCGCGAACCCCTTCATTCATTTTTTTGCTTGTTTACTATTTTGCTAAACTTAAGATAATTTTCCCAAAAGACTCCATTTTTAAACTCACACTTTTTAAGTCAAAACTTCGACACTAGGTCGTCGTATCTTCAAAATCTCGTCCATATCCATCTTTTAGCCAAACGAATCATTTTAATCAAACAAACAATTTTAAACCAAAAAACAGATATTTCAAAAGGTTCCTGCGGAGTACCGCAGATGCATTGGGTGCTAATACCTTCCCATTGTATAACCAACCCCCGAACTCTCGATCTCTTTCAAAAACGCATTGTATTTTTATTACTTTTAAGTATTATTTTACATTGCATAATTTAGGGTTTTATTTCGCTCTTTTCCCTTTTCCCTCGGAAATAATAAAGCGCGGTGGCGACTCTTGCTTTTGTGAGTCAAGTTAATTAATAGCTTGATCTCCGATTTTCACCGCTACAGAATTGGCGACTCTGCTGGGGAAAGATTGACCTCTTGCTGGTCCATCCCTAAGTGGGTTAAGCCTAATTTGTTTTATCTGTTTTATCATTATTTGATTGTTTGATTATATGTATATATTATGATTATTTGGGTGTTGATAATATTTACAAAGGACAAGTCCTATACCCGGACTAAGTTACACTTAGGAATAGGACGGGCGGTATAGTCATGTTAACTTTGAGGGAGTAATCCCGAAGAAGGAGGCATGAGATCCCTCACTCAGTGGAAGGCCCTCTTGAACGTAATATTTGTTTACCGAGTAATCGGGAAGACATTATTATTTTCGACCTAGGAGCCAGAGAAGCTGGGAACCGTAGAACCCTAACCCATCTTGGCCTTTTAGGTGTAGCGCGGAGATTATAACGGAGTAATCCGGAAGTAGTTGTCACGCGATGCTACACTCGGATAAGTTTCTCTTGAGAATATTGCTGATTATTGAGTAATCAAGACGTTGGTAATATCCGAAGGAGGAATGTAGACTCCGGGAACTCTTAGAACCTTGTTCTACAGGTGTGATTAAACCGTTAGTACATACCTTGGGGGTGTTCCTTACCTCGACTCCATGCTCGTGACGTTGAACCTTTCGACTTTATTTGTGACCTTGCTTGTGGTTGTTGCATAGCAATGCATTCATGCATCCATAAAACCCTTTTCACTTGACTTTGAAGGAATTTGGAGGTCTTTCTTTGTAAACATCACAAGTTTCTTCAAGCTCAATGGATCTTGGGTGTTGATAGGGCGAAAACCCTAATCCACCAAAATGGATGATTGATCTTGATGATAACTTGATCAATGTTTGGAGCCAATTTAAAATTCATCTTCTATCTTCATACTTTGATGTTTACAACTTAATATCTTGAGTTCCTTGAAAATCAAATAAAAAACTCTCTTTTGCATATCATACATCATTCTACATTTTTCATTTCACTTTCAAAGGTCTTTTTCCAAGTCTTATTTTTTTCCTTTGGTCTCACCAGTACAACACTGACGCTAAGAGAACAATGGAGAATATCAAGCAAGAGATTTCTGAACTCCGTAGAGAGATGACTATTTTGAAAGCTGGTATGGATCACTCGACTGTTTCGGGTTGAAATTTTGGTTACCGCCCAAGTCAATCCTTCCAGGAGGAAAGAAGCGATGATAAAAGTCTTCACTAAAACTCTAAAATCATTCTCTCATGAGAAGGTGATGGTAAATGCACCTAATGACTTTCTTGACAAGGTAAATGTGGGAGTGCGTCTAGAAGAAGATGTCGGAAATGGATGTTTATATGAAGATGGTAGCTCAGCTAATGGTGTGAAGAAGTTTGATAATAACTTTTCCAAGAAGAGAACCAGAGGAAGAAATATTCACCGTCAAAATCATCACGTTCCTCCTATTCATCAACAGAATCAGCAAGTTCTTAATCAGAGGAAAACCCAGTTTGATCCAATTCCAATTACCTATACAGAGTTGTTCCCTATCCTGATGCAGAGGAATTTGGTTCAGACCCGACCTCCACCGAAGGTTCCTGAGAAGATACATTGGTACTACAAAGCTGATTTGGCTTGTACCTTTCACCAAGGTGCTCCTGGGCATGACTTGGAGGGTTGCTTTGCTTTGAAGATTGAGGTTCAGAAGTTGGTCAGAAGTGGTATCTTGTCATTCAAGGACGTTGATTTTGAAGTTCAAATCAAGCATGCGCCGAAGAGTAAACACGATTGATGGTGACTTTGATTTTTGAAGGATGTTTTCGGTAATTCAAGTCCAGATGGAAAGCCTTCCCAGATTATTAACTTATTTCTGCTCTTTGTAATTTTTCTTGTTTATCAAAACATTGTTTGCATGTAAGAGCTTGTTTGCATCTGAATGATTATCTTGATACAATGGGTATGTTTGTCTTGAAGAAATTCATTCGTTTCACTCATATTTGTTTTCAAATTTTAAATTGCTTTTTGCATTATGATACCAACTTGTTGCCCATTCTCTTGCCTAGGCAGAGATTGAAGGGAGGATGATGATCTAAAGAACACAAAATCTATGTTTGTTTGCTTTTGGATAAAATCTTGCTGATGATGTACAGGCATTGTTTCAAATCCCTAAACACCGGAGATATAAGGAAGATAATCCCTTGCTAACCCCTTTTGAGCCTTTGAAGTAGAATTTTCTTTTCTATACGAAAAAACCTTGAATTTTAACCTGGGGCAGGGTAGTTTTTTAGTTAATCTGACTGAGTGTTCAAACTTCATAAGGAAGATGTTTTTTGAAGAGAAACTACGAGGGATATCCTTCATGAATAATGAATCTAGAAGATGTGGAATCACAATGTTATCCCTCATTCATCAAGAAACGAGGCAATCATAATCCTCTCAACAAGCAAAGACAAGCTAATGTCACACATTTTGTTCAAAAAGTCAAAAATCAAGAAAAAGAAAAGCCTGCTAAGTCAAAAAAAAACATGAAAACGTGTGACTTAGGCAAAATTAAGGCATCCCGCTGGACTATCAATTCAAAAAAATTAGTTCAAAAAAAATTAGGGAAAATAAAAATTGCAAAGAAAGGACTACAAAGAAAAGTCCTCAGCAAAGAGCAAATTGGTGACTACAAACACGAAGACATGAGGGTGGTTTCTACTCCGAAAGCCTCGTCGTTTCCTTGACCGTCACAAAATCCTTTTGAGAGATGAACACTCATGTTGAATTAACTGAACATAGGGTTGGAGAACATCATGAAGAATGGGTGGGCACCAAATATTTTGAGCCTTAAAATCTTTTTTTCTAAAAACCATGAACCAGACCACGTTACAACCTTCAAAAGTCCTAATTGAAGCAAGGTTATTTTGAAAGCATACTTCAATGAGATAGTGTTCCTGACTCCCATGAATGTTCTAAATAGTTATGTTGGTATCATATTGTTTTTCCTGTACAAAAATAAATGGTGCTTTAGCTCGCAAAATTTGTGTGATATCTTTCAAAATCTTCAAGACTTACATAACTGTTGCATTAGAATTTTCATTCTCATTGTAAACTTTTTCTAACTGCAAAACATTTGTTTGATATCAAGGAAGCTCATATAAGCACCAGTGATGAGTCTATTCTTAAGGCTTGAAACTATGTTGAGTAATTGGCGGATCGTTTCAAAAAATCATATCCAGGGGCATGTCACCTGAAGACCTTAAGCACGGACATGTTGCTTCTCCTAATTAATGCTTTCCCAACTTGTTTACTCTTTTGGGGCAAAATTTGAAGACTTTGTTGTGCCAACTACAGTCAATCCGGGGCAATCACGTAGGGATTTGATGAATCTCTCTAAGAGTTTGAAGACACCAGAGCATGGTGAATGCCAGGTCTTTTGTAAAATCCTCTTGAGACGATTTCTCCTCATCAACCATATAGCTCGGGGAATTTTAGAGGTGAAGCTATTCGCAAGAATTGTCGTGCATCACGCAGCTTATCGGCAGTAAACTTGGGGCATCCAAAATTAATCCCAGGGGCAATCCAGATTTGTCAAGATATGTTATTCATACATTATTAGAGGGTGGTGTTCCCAGTATCTCCAGCTAAGCATGACTTTTTCCAACTGAAGCATTGTTCGTGTCGTTATCCTTTCAATGGATTGTCGACAATAGAAGACTGGACTTTGGATTTTCTACCTGAAAATATGTTCCTCTCCAGAGATATTTAAGCCCTGTAAAAGGACCTCGCTCCAATGATGGCCTGTGTTTTATCTCCAGTAATGTTCCCATCTTGTTGAGATTAGCTGAGCGTCGAGTTGTACTGTGATGTCTTATCATTTTCTGTCCATCTCCCCTGTCTGTTTTGTCAGCATATACATGACATTCATTTATTCATTCACACTGGCATCATGCGTGCACAGTTGTATTTGTTGATGTCTTTGAGTACGTATACCTTGGTTATGTCTATTCAAACAACATATTTGATCTTTCCAAATAGAGTGTCAACTTAAGCAGAAAGTGCGCCTCTTTTCTAATTCCCCACTGAGTTAACTCTCGTGGAAGAATCTTGCTTTAGCTTTCCTTTTCCATCTCTGGATAGGGTAAATCTCCATTTGAGTTATTTCCTCATTGGGTGGAGTCTTGTTTGACTATTTTTTCCCTCCAGTTTATTCCTGGATTGAGCTTTGTCTCTTGTGAACGATACCCTGTGGATCTCTCTAGGCTGTGAAACCCAGATGGGGAGTGCATTTTTTTGCAACGTAAATACTCGGTCTCCTCAAGAAGGATTTATTCATGGTTCCCCATTGAAGATGAACTTTATTCCCCAGCAGTGTTATCATAACCTTCTTCTGGAATATCAACATGACAACAAGCGACTGACTCTTTATTTGAGCAGTTTGATTATTTCTGATTTCTCTACGACAAATGGCGGTCTCTTCATGAGCAGTTTGTCCATCCTCGATGAAATTATTGGTTCTCACCTCCAACAATATCTTCACGATATTTTATGGGTATTTTTTTTGCAAACAGCAAGCGGCAGTTTCTTCATGAGACAACTTGTGTGTTATGGATACTCTTGACAAACAGCAAGCGGCAGTCTCTTCATGAGGCAACTTGTGTGTTATTGTCACCTTCGAAAACATCAAGCGGCAGTCTCTTCATGAGGCAACTTGTGTGTTTTTGACACCTTTGGAAGCATCAAGCGGCGGTCTCTTCATGAGCAACTTGTATGTTATTGATACCTTGAAAAAAAACAACAAGCGGCGGTCTCTTCATGAGCAACTTGTGTGTTATTGGTAATTTTGAAAAGAAAACGACAAGCGGCGGTCTCTTCATGAGTAACTTGTATGTTATAGACATCGTTGGAAAACGACAAGCGGCAGTCTCTTCATGAGCAACTTGTACGTTATAGACATCGAAAAACAGCAAGCGGCGGTCTCTTCATGAGCAACTTGTACGTTATAGACATCGAAAAACAGCAAGCGGCGGTCTCTTCATGAGCAACTTGTGTGTTATTGGTAATTTTGAAAAGAAAACATCAAGCGGAGGTTTCTTCATGAGCAACTTGTGTGTTATTGACACCTTTGAAAACATCAAGCGGCAGTCTCTTCATGAGCAACTTGTATGTTATTGACACATTTGAAAACATCAAGCGGCGGTCTCTTCATGAGCAACTTGTATGTTATTGACACCTTTGAAAGGAAGCAAGTGGCGGCCTCTTTATTCGAGCAGCTTGTGTATCCCCAACAATAATGTCTATTCAGTAAATGGCATCCCTTTCGAAAAAGTCCCATGGGGAAGTTTGTTATTTTATCATTTTCAAGCGATATCTTGGTTAAAGAAGAAATGTGCTACCGTTCTTGGTAAAATTCAGAAATCAGAGATGTTTATCTCCAGCCACAGTGCTGATGTTAATCACTTTCCAGTCTCAGTACTGATGTCCATCATTTTCTTTTCCAGTCACAGTATTGATGTCAATCATTACCTGTTCCAATCTTAGTACTGATGTAAATCATTTCTTTTTCCAGTCTTCGTACTGATGTAAATCATCTCTTTTCCAGTCTCAACATTGATGTAAATCATTCAAGAGCCTCTCATTTGAAGTCTATGACTTTGTTTCCCAGTGGAGTTACAACCTCTTCCTCTGTGGGATTACTGTATAATGTGCTTGGTTTCTCCAGCATAGTCTGTCTCATATGTCGTCATTCCCCGTAAAATTCAGAGCATTACATTCATATCATATCATGAACATGATCGCGGTATCTTAAGGCCAAAAATTGTGTATTCTATATTTAAGTCCCTTCAATCTCGTCGAAATGAAGATCCAAATCTTCATGTCTCCAGATAGAAGAAACTTAAATAGGGGCAGCTGTTGTACCCCAATTTTTGACCTAAGATCCCGCATTCCATCCGCATCATTGCATGGCAAGAGTTCACAAGCAATTCGACCTATTTTTGCCAATTCCCGAGTCAGATTTCAAAAATTCACAACTTCTTCAAATTTCAATATTTTGAGGGGTTATTTTTTTGCATATGATTTTTCTTGACACCATCTACAATTTTTCTTTACAAGACAAGAGATGATTATGCATTGAAAAGCCACGAAAAAGTTATTAACGTTCGAAGTTGTTTCACGAATTTAATGGAATTTGATTCTTAATTTTGGACTATGTTTTATCCGACCATAAATTTTACACTTTCTCTTCTTTTATTTTTAATTCCATGAAAAAAATCCTAAAAAAAAAATATTTAGTTCATGTCATCTTAATTTTATTTACATTATTATTCAAAATATCAAAAAAGTAGTCTCTTCAAGTTTCATTTAGATTTTTATTCTTAAGTCAAAATTATAGTCTTCTAGATTTAATTTAGTCAAAATCTAAAAAAAACATGTCTTAGCATTATTTTATTTTTAGCATTTCACTTTAATCACAAAAATATATAGTTAATATCTTTTCCTTTTAATTCTTTTAGTTATTATAATTTTCATTTCTTTCTTTCAATATTAATCTTGATTTGGTTCTAATTTTAATTCAACTTTTTAGTTGAGTTATTATTAAAATTAAAATTAATTTTAATTTCTCTTTAATTTTCATGTTTTGGAAATTTTTAGTTTAATATTTTTTATTTTTATTTTTTGTTATTATTATTGTTATTATTATTATTATGCTATTGTCCCTATCCTAACTTTCCATAGAACCCAAACATGCTACACAACAAAACTTGCTGCTACTTCACTCCAAAAACCTGCATAAAAACCAGTCTGCAAACAACCTTTTTACTACCTTTGCTGTCCAAAAGCTTGCCCAAAAATGAAATCACAAATCCCTGCATCAAGAAAGCATAAGAAAGTTGACATAAACTAGAATTCAACTGATATTTGGCTCCAATTTTCCCTCCGATTCTATCATATATTCATTATAAAAACATAAGCAAATGGTGAAGAGCAAGGGGGAGAAAACAAAAAAACATAGCAGTACTTTTATCTAACTTTCAATCCCCATTTTTCTACTAGCAGTAAACCCTCTCTCCAAAAACAAAAAAAAGGCATAGCAGTAAACAACCCATTTCCACCTCTTCTCTCTTTCCAACGTTGTAACTCAGATCAACTTATCCAATCTTGCTCTAACCGGAACATTGCCTTACGGATTAGACCGCCTCACGTCTCTCACCAATCTAGACATGAGTAACAACAATCTTGTTGGAACCATACCATACCAACTTCCTCCTAATCTCCAACGTTTAAATTTTGCTCATAATAACTTAACCGGGACACTCCCTTACTCTATTTCTAACCTCACCTCTCTTACTCACCTGAATCTCAATCATAATCAGCTCCAGCAACCACTCAATCTCAACTTTCTTAATCTTTCTACCCTCTCCAAATTAGACCTCTCTTTCAATTCTTTGACAGGCGACCTCCCTCCAACTATGAGCTCACTTTCAGGCATTACCACCATGTATCTGCAAAACAACCAGTTTACAGGAACTATTGACATTCTTGCTAATCTGACCCTCAATAGTTTGAATGTAGAAAACAATAATTTCACAGGTTGGATTCTGGAGCGGTTGAAAAACATAGACGACCTTCAGACGGGTGGTAATGCATGGAGCTCAGGACCTGCACCACCCCCCTCCTCCTGGGACGCCTCCAATACCTAAAAGCAAACCCAATCCGCTGTCAACTCCCTCCAATCCGTTGCTTAACAATTTCAGATCGCCACTGCATCTCCAGCCGTGTGAACCTCCGTCTCACCACCGGCAACCAGCGACTAGCTCCTCTTTGTTTTCCTCCACATTTTCCGTTCAGCAACAACACTTCCTCTCTCCGACCTCACATCCGCGCCGCCACCTTCGACCGACTCCTCCAACTCCCGCCGCAAATAGATCTGCACCGGACAGCCCCCCGCCACCCGCAACCGTCTCCGCGTCGAAACTTAGGTCGGTACCGTCCTTCATGTTTGGTTCTTGAAATATTGGGTTTTGGCGTTGTATTGCAAAGAGAAGAAAAGTAGGTAGTGAGATAAACTTTTTTTCATGACTTTGTTTCAACTATATTTGTGTTACATTTTGTTTGATTTTTATTTTTTGTTATAATGTTTTGCCACGTGTCAGCTCCTCATTGGACCTACTTTTTCAAAGCAATTTTTAAGGGATGGGGGGTGTTGAAATGTTGACCGAGTATTGATGATGGAGTAGGCATGCTCACATTTTTTTATTATCATTATTACATTAGCTTAGGATTAATTTTAGTTAGTTTTGAAATAGGTACACTATATTTTAACCTAACAGTAAACCTCATTATGTACAACTAATTTTTATTTTTCAATTTTTCAATTTTTAGTTTTGATTTAAGATAGTAATTTTATTATTAAATAGTTTAGATTAACTTAGTAATTTTATAATGAATTTAGTTTATACTTAAACTAGTTTAGATTTAATTTAACAACTTTAGAATTTTAATTTTACAATTTAATAATTTTATAATTAACTTAATTTATATTTAAATTAGTTTAGATGTAATTTAGTAATTTTAGAGCTTTAATAGTTTTAGAATTTCATTTGATTTAGATTTAATTTAATAACTCTAGAATTTTTATTCGATTTAGATTTAATTTAGTAACTTTAAAATTTTCATTTTGGTTTAGATTAAATTTAATAACTCTAGAATTTTTATTTGATTTAGATATAATTTAGTAACTTTAGAATTTTATTTGTTTTAGTTTTGACTTAGTAAACTTTAGAATTTTTTGTTTAGTTTTATTTTAGTAACTTTAGGATTTTATTTCATTTAGATTTGACTTAGTAAATTTTAGAATTAGATTTTATTCCATTTAGATTTGACTTAGTAAACTTTAGAATTAGATTTTATTTCATGATTTGACTTAGTAAACTTTTAGAATTTTATTTGATTTATATTTAGTTTAGTAACTTTGGAACTTTCTTTGTTTTAGGTTAGCAACCTTGGAATTTCTATTTAGTTTAGATTTAATTTACTAATTTTAAAATTTTTAATCTAGTTTAGATCTAACTTAGTAATTTTAGAATTCTAATTTATTTTAGATTTAATTTATTAACTTTAGAATTTTAAGTTAGTAATTTTATAATTTTAATTTAGTTTTAGTTATTAACTTTGAAATTTTATTCAATTTAGTTAGACATTTTAGAATTTAAATTTAGTTTACTTAGTAACCTTAGAATTTCAAATTAGTTTAGATAATTTTTTAATTATACTTTTCTTTTATTCATGATTCTTCTTTGTCCATTCATTTAGTTTTTTTACAATTTATCTTGTTATCTACCTTGTTCGTTTCTCGTGGATTTTAATTATTTATGATTTCTTACTCGAATATTAGATCTACCTGCTTATGATTAACTCCAAGGGAAAGAATTAAATTTGTTGACTTCATGTCACCGAACCTATCTCATGCGATTGCGCGAACCCCTTCATTCATTTTTTTGCTTGTTTACTATTTTGCTAAACTTAAGATAATTTTCCCAAAAGACTCCATTTTTAAACTCACACTTTTTAAGTCAAAACTTCGACACTAGGTCGTCGTATCTTCAAAATCTCGTCCATATCCATCTTTTAGCCAAACGAATCATTTTAATCAAACAAACAATTTTAAACCAAAAAACAGATATTTCAAAAGGTTCCTGCGGAGTACCGCAGATGCATTGGGTGCTAATACCTTCCCATTGTATAACCAACCCCCGAACTCTCGATCTCTTTCAAAAACGCATTGTATTTTTATTACTTTTAAGTATTATTTTACATTGCATAATTTAGGGTTTTATTTCGCTCTTTTCCCTTTTCCCTCGGAAATAATAAAGCGCGGTGGCGACTCTTGCTTTTGTGAGTCAAGTTAATTAATAGCTTGATCTCCGATTTTCACCGCTACAGTACCCTAGGAGTGGCATGTGCATGTGTGTCAGGTTTCATGTTTAAGTTATCTTTGCACATGTATTACGGTGAGCTACGGGTTGATTTTAATTTTCAGGCAAGTCTTGTCATGCATAGTTAACCGTTAATAATTGTGCATAAAGTAAATTGCGGAAAGTAAATCTACGCTATTACAAGGCGTCGGGTATTTACATTGCCAAAAACATAACCCTTGAAAAGATAAATTGCGGAAAAATAAAGAAAGCGATAAAAGTCCTAATTATCTATTACATCCTCGGAACAGTTACATAAATATGATCAAAATAGGAATCAAGAATAAACATGCGCGAGAAAAATTGAATCGGGAAAAGTCTTAGGGTTTTGACCCTTTTTTGAGAAAAGAATGGAATTTTGGTCCTTTTTTGCAATTAATTAATATTAAACCTAATTTACTAGTTAACTAAATAATTACAAGAAAAAAGTATTTTTTATGTTTTTTTATGTTTTAATGAAAATAAAAATAAAAGAAATTAAAAGTTGTCAAAAACCCTAATTCTACATGGATTTTATTTATTGCAAAAAAAAATAGTCAAATTTAACCTAATTAACTAAATTAATTATATTTCGAATTTATTTACAAAAATAAATTAAGGTGAAATTAATAATAATAATAATAATAATAATAAAAATATTTACATTTTTTAGTTGTCTGAATTTATTATGAAAAATATTAATTAAGTTAATTAAATAATAATAATAACAATTAATAATAATTATAGTTAATAAAAAAGGGAAAAGAAAATAAAAGAGGAAATATAAACCAGGGGGGTGTTGGACCCATTAGGAGGTTTGTTTGGAAATCTGACCCATTAAGCTCTCCAGCCTGTTTGACCTTGGGAAATTGTCCATGCGCAGGGTTGACCAGGAGCATCATGGTCATCCACTCATGACCTTCAGATTTATGCTTAAGGACACATGGCACCTGGGATGTGAAAGTGCATGGTGGAACACCTTTGGAGACCTGTACATGAACGTGTTAAGAAAAAATAGAAACAATTATTTGGGGGACCTGGGAATCGAACCCAGGTCCCAATGATCACTAGCCAACGCACCATCCACTGAGCCATTTGAACGCCTTTGTTATTATAATGCACAATGAAATTAATATATAAAAACAACAATTATGCTGGAAAGTAAATAAAACGCGCGCTATTTTTTGAATGGCCCAACCATGAACCAACACGTCATCGTCTTCCTCAGATTTCCTGTAAAAACAAAGTTAAATAGCGGGGGTTTTTAACCCCCACAACCTGCAACCACGAATAATAGCGATTAGCCCTAGGATGAATATAAATATTTCGCGACGGTCTCCGCGTGTTCGTCTGGTCTTGACGAGTTCAACCATAGGCATTAGAGGTGCTAATTTTGCCTGTACTGTAAAGCCCCAATCTGGAAGCTCAAGAACCCTAAATTTCTTCAATGGTAACTTGTGATTCTAGGCATTTTAATCCAATTAACCAATACCATTAGCTTTGTATAGATTCAAGCAATGCAAAACAATGATTAAAACATATTAATTATGCATGAAATATGAGTTTCGATTATGGAAAAGTCAAGCAAACCGTGGTTCTGTACTTGAGTATTCTTGTAGCTTTAGCGTGTGATTTTGATTGCAAAAGGTCCCTGAGAGTTCCTGCAATGTATTAGAAACCACAAAATGCTTTGAATCGTGCTAAACTATAGAAAACAGTTTTCACTTTTCTTTGATTTTTCTTGAATGTGATTATGGTTTTTCTGCATCAAATTCACGTCCAATGCATTAGGGTTCACTTGTGTACTTATAGAGGAAGAGAATTAGGTTAAATCCTTGAGCAAAGATCCATGAAATAATGGTTTGAATATTTGATTTGCAATCATATATTTTTGAATCTTTTTGATTGGAAAAACTTGCCAAACTTGGAGATTCTCGTCCCTTTGATTTGCACACGAATTGCCAGCATATCTTGAGCTTGTTTGCTTCACAAAAAGATTGAAAAAACCATATCTTTGAATTTCCTACAATTTAAATTAATTAAATGAATTAAAATCAATTAAAAATCCAATTAATTAATAAAAATAAGAAAATAAATTCAAATAGGCTTGATGGGTCGTGCATAGGCCTTGGATAAAGTTTCAAGAAGAAATTTGAGGTCCATTAGCAAAAAAAAAGTGTTTTGAGCAAAGTTGACTTTTGCAAATTCACAAAAATTTCCCAACTTATCCAATGCATATATTGCTCAATTTTGATCACATGAACATGTTCTTGGACATTTTGGAAAGGTCTTGAAGTCCTCTAACCAATTCCTTTGGTCCCATGTCATTTGTATTTACCAATCTCAAGTTATGGTCTTTGACTTAAAGTGCATTTTTGTTGACTTTTGAAATTGACCTATAATGTAGAAATTGATAACTTTTTGTGAGAGCATTTCTTGGACTTGGAATGTGAAGATGAGTTGTAGGAAATGTCATCCCCTTCAAAATGAGCATTGGATGGGATTGATGAACCATGAAAAAGTTATGCCTTGGTCAAGATACAATTGACTTTTCTGCTGTCCAAAAATAGTAACTTTTGCATCTTGATGATTTTTGAGCCATTCTTGTGGAATCATGATCATGACTTGATCAAATGATGATTTTGGACTCAAAATAAGATGTTGACCAAAAATTCTGACTTTTGACTGCAAAATGACCATTTTCCCCTGCAGTTGATTGTGAAGCAAATGGAGCTTTTGACTGTGCAATTTGACATTGTGAGTCTTGAGACTTGACATGTAGATGCTTGACAATGTATATAGGCCTATGGGACTTGATTGAGCCATTGAAAACCTCAAATTCCTTGACAGAAACAAAACCCTAATTTGGACTGGCTTAGGAGGCATTTAGACTGTGCAATCCTTGAGCTAATTTGAATAATTTGAAGACCATTCTTGACAAATCTTGAAGAATATGGGAGGGGAAATTTTGGGGGTACAACAGTTGCCCCTGTTCAATCTTCTTAAACCTGAGGATGTAGATTGGATTTCGGGCCTTTCGTGATCCGAAGGTGGAAGATGATTGAACACTAGAGTGCCTAGAAATTTGCACTCACATAGT